ACCGCATATTATCTTGTTCAAGCTTGACGACCAGCAGTGTCTCTGAGGTCGGGAAATTCGAGAAATCATCGGTAACGTGTCATTTCAGTGGACTTCTGCTCGCAGTGAAACTTTTGAATGGAGATAAGGACAAATGCGGGAATTACGACCAATACGTGAGTGGACATTCAGTGTGACGCTGAATGCTTAGCAAAGACGCTAGTCAATGAAGTATATGCCAATGAACATTTGTGAAAACCGCCAGGTAAGGGTCTTTGAGGCAAAGCGCTCGTCATAGATATTAGTGTCAAAACAAGCGAAGCAAGTAGCGTGAAACCGTCAATGATACAGGTCCAGACGTTGAAACGTCAGACGCTTCAATTCAGGTACCTCAGGTCCTTGATAAAACGTCCCTGTTTGCAATAGAGCGCCCTAAAGGGCCTTCTGTTCTATAGACATGTTGAGAATCATGGGTGCATGTTTCCGGACTCGACGGGCGGGGCGAGATGGCTCACTGGTTAGAGCGTGAATTTACCGACCGGAAGGTCCGTGGTTCAAACCCGATCTTTGCCCCCCGACTTCTCCTGTCTAGGCTTGGGCAACCTGGCAGTATCCCAGCCCTCGTGTTCCCTCCAGCTGGCATGGCATCCAGGTATAGCTGAACGATTTCTTGACAGGCGGGTGTCATTAGGGCTCAGGCAACCTAATATGGTGATAATATGCTTGGCGGAAGAAGTATCGTAAGGGCATGTTTGTAGTGGTAATGGGTGAAGCACTCATGGTGGATGCAACAGGTGGCTATGAGCTCTTTCGCCCATAAGGACCTGTAGGCTTGCTCTCACTGCGCAACGCATACATAAGGGGATGGCATCAATCAACTTAACGTCGTTGACTGCAATGGTGACCGCATTGAGATGGTGGTGGAACCTTTCAGCCATGTACTGATATTTCGTACTTTATTTTCCCTTCCGACGAACGATCATGGTTTACATTCCATTCGCCCGTATGCACTATCTCCACAGGCTGTGCTGGAGGAGACCAGCTAAGTTGTTCTTCGAATTGTTCGGTCCATCATTCCAGTCGATGTTTTTGCGAGTTAATCAGCCATCTTTTTCGCTTATCTGCTGCTTCCCTATACACAATGGGTCCTATTATTTGGTATAGTGTACGGCTATTCCCGGTAGTAAGTGCTCGCTACGAATGCAGCGACCTAAACGACCTAAAGCTGCCACCTTGACGTGGTGGTTGGTCCGAACAAAACCCCACACTCTCCCACTGCCTCGTGGTTCAGGCTTTTGAGTCAGAGGCTAGGGTCAGGGTCCCCGAACAAAACCCCACACTCTCCCACTGCCTCGTGGTTCAGGCTTTTGAGTCAGAGGCTAGGGTCAGGGTCCCCGAACAAAACCCCACACTCTCCCACTGCCTCGTGGTTCAGGCTTTTGAGTCAGAGGCTAGGGTCAGGGTCCCCGAACAAAACCCCACACTCTCCCACTGCCTCGTGGTTCAGGCTTTTGAGTCAGAGGCTAGGGTCAGGGTCCCCGAACAAAACCCCACACTCTCCCACTGCCTCGTGGTTCAGGCTTTTGAGTCAGAGGCTAGGGTCAGGGTCCCCGAACAAAACCCCACACTCTCCCACTGCCTCGTGGTTCAGGCTTTTGAGTCAGAGGCTAGGGTCAGGGTCCCCGAACAAAACCCCACACTCTCCCACTGCCTCGTGGTTCAGGCTTTTGAGTCAGAGGCTAGGGTCAGGGTCCCCGAACAAAACCCCACACTCTCCCACTGCCTCGTGGTTCAGGCTTTTGAGTCAGAGGCTAGGGTCAGGGTCCCCGAACAAAACCCCACACTCTCCCACTGCCTCGTGGTTCAGGCTTTTGAGTCAGAGGCTAGGGTCAGGGTCCCCGAACAAAACCCCACAATCTCCCACTGCCTTGTGGGTCAGACTTTTGAGTCGAAGGCTCAAGGTGGAGTACCTCAACCAAACCCCCTTCCTCGGCCTGGGCAACCGGGAAGTATCATTTGCCCTCGCAGTTCAGCGTCCACCTTCTCCCAAATTAAAAGCGACAGAGTCGTAAATTTGGTTTCTTGCCCTACGCATGAATGAGCCTCACTGGATTCACTGACGCACCTTTCTAAGGTAAAAATCTTTGGATAACAGTACTCGAAGTAGCTGTCACAAGCAGCAAAAATGACGCGTCGTGGAAAGACTATTCGACCTGGAGCGACCGCCTCACTCCAAATCACGGTATTGCCTGCTCTGACGCTCCGCACAAGCTTCTAGTCGCCCCTCATCATAAGCTGGTTCCGCAGCCAGTCAATCGACCAATGGTTGGAATCTATCTGTCACATAACGGGTTTACAAGTATTGCTACAAAACCAACCGTCTGACTTTGAGAATCATTGAAAACAATACGCAACGGCTATGAATTTAGCCCTCCTATTGCTCGTGGTAGGTGCGCCAGACGCAACACGTTTTGGGGATATAATTCAGACCGCGCTTTGGTAGGTCGCCACCCTTGACGAACCCCCGCATTTACTGGCCTATACCAGGAGCTAACAAATAGGGAAGTCAGTCCAGCGTTAGGTCTGTGGGTGTCCGACTTGAGTTACCAGACCACATGATCTGTTAGATCCAGCCAGCTATAATAAATGATGTTCCCTCTGTGGAGATACCCAATAAGCTGTCGAAATTGTGTATGCCCATAGTGACTGGCCTTTTTGTCGCGCGTGCATGTGTATGTTCGACAGTAGCAGACGAATGTTGGAAAGCATCGTTGCGAGGAAACCAACCATTAAAGTGGATAACGCCGTTGGTGTGCCGTGCGGCTACTGATCAAGACGGATTAGGCTGTCGTGCGTTATTTCGGCAGGACGTTACCAGTGTCCTCTTATGTTGCCGCCAGTGGTCAAAAGAAAAATCGATAGTCCGCGCTCTCATGGTCTCGATCATGCTGAACATCGGAATCAAGTAAGCTTTTACGTTTTTACTCCGCGCCAGGCTTCGGTCCTGACAAAGATCACATTGGGACACCTGCGTTACCATTTGACTGATGTGTTGCCTCAGTCGAAATCCCTGCTTGGCGTAGTCTTCAGAACGGGTCGCACATGACATCAAACTCAAACGTCGCAACCGAGATCACGACTCATCTGGTGTGACCAGGATACTGATACCCGCAGCGAAACCCCGTATGGAATAGACTAGAAAAAGGATGAGTTTGTGGAAGCTTGATGGTTAGGGTGCGGACTTACCGACTGAAAAGTCTGTGGTTCCAACGTAACCATGACCTGTCAACTGCTCTTGTCCAATCTTAGAGAATCTGACAGTCTCTCAGCCCTCAAACTTCGGATGGCGTGGAAGGTAGGCCTCAGAACGTGCTGATGATAATGATAAATTGTCCTCAGATAAGCCAAGTACTGGAAAGTCTCAGTGGAACCTTCGATACGCAGTACACAACAGTAATTTTCGTGTAGCCTGTGTTATCAAGAGGAATCTCCATGAACCTTAACGTGACCCTCATCCACCATATAGTATGAGATGCCTTTGCGATGTCAAAATTAATTGCGGCACTCCCTTCGTCATCACAATAAAAACGATGAGACGGAATTGCACAAATATTGCATTTACAGGCGACCGTACCAAGCACTTTGTTTGACTCACAGATCTAGGATGCACGCAGCATCGTTTTGTGTGGGTGAAGGCCTGAGAGTGAAGATATGCAAAGGCGAATGACACCTAAAATTTTCTCAGGTCAGAGAAGATGCCTTAGTTGAGGTACCGCACATTGAGTCTTTGACTCAGATTCACGCATCAATGATTCAATTTTCTGAACCGCGAGGCAACAGTTATCAGGGTTTTCTTGAGGAACCCTTCCCGGACCCGGTGACTCAATAGTCTGACCCGCTTGGCCCCGGGTCACAGCAGACGTGCTGGACAGAGGTCATTGAAATACTTTTAGTATCTGACAATCGGTGTCTTTGGTCTGGTGGGTACACCAGATCAGTAATGCTGGAGTACATCGAATAATTGTCGGAAGATATAACTCACCCACGATAGATGGGCTGCTCACATTCCGTAGGTTGCGCTGACTTCGCCACTTGCTTCACACACCAATCGATCGAATTCCTCAAAGGGCTCTTTTCGCACAATCACGTGAAGTGTGGAGACTAACCAGGGGGGTCAAACAATAGTAGCGAAGCATGAAAGCTATTACCATCAAACTCAACTGCGCTGGTCATTACAGCCTTCCTGGATGGGATCTCGGGATGGGACACAATGGTTAGAGACATTGCCAGATATGGTCCAGTCGTGCACCCAATGGTGCGCACGTATCCAAGCTGTTATCTTCAATACATAGCTTCCCCTCGCGATCTTCCCATTGAAAACTCTACTGTCACCCCTGTTACTACTACTACTACTACTATTACTACTACTACTACTACTACTACTACTACTACTACTACTACTACTACTACTACTACTACTACTACTACTACTACTACTACTACTACTACTACTACTACTACTACTACTACTACTACTACTACTACTACTACTACTACTACTACTACTACTACTACTACTACTACTACTACTACTACTACTACTACTACTACTACTACTACTACTACTACTACTACTACTACTACTACTACTACTACTACTACTACTACTACTACTACTACTACTACTACTACTACTACTACTACTACTACTACTACTACTACTACTACTACTACTACTACTACTACTACTACTACTACTACTACTACTACTACTACTACTACTACTACTACTACTACTACTACTACTACTACTACTACTACTACTACTACTACTACTACTACTACTACTACTACTACTACTACTACTACTACTACTACTACTACTACTACTACTACTACTACTACTAATAATAATAATAATAATAATTGTTCAACTGTGAAACCCTTTCGGTGCATAGCTGCTAAGATACTGTTAGGTTGCCCAAGCTCGGATAGGAACAGTCAAGATGCCGCGGTTGGACTTTTCGATCAGTAAGTTGGGGTCTCAGCCACTGATGATATAAAATAAGGCACCAATTCTAGTTTTATATCAGTGAGGAGGTCATCCGTCAGTTCGCTGAAGCCGCAACGGGATACCGCTTCATCCATCAAACAATGATTCCTTAGATATTCGCGTTGCTGCGCCATGTAGGTAGCAAACCAGTAGTTAGATGGCTGTTGTCAATGTTACGACGGTAGAGGCAAACAGCTGTCGTCTAAAAATCTGATCAAACATACTTGAGAAGTGGTATGGAATGAGTATGCTGGTGATCAGAAAATCCAGATGTACTCGAGCGCATGTACCCACAAGCTGTACTCTTTCAGTTGGTTGTGGTTGAACCATATATAGTGTCTCCTCAAACGATCCCTCTGAGTTTGGTGGTTAAGGTGCATTGTGCTTCAAAGTTTTTCCTTTATACAAGTGGCGGTTCTCCGGGCCGCTCCGTCGAATGTCATATTTCCCCAAAATTACGGTTTCTCGAACATAACTGAACAATGCAGCAGTGGGGATTTCATCCTTGAGTTTCTGCACCATTCTTCAATTGAGCGCTATTCAGTGACGTGGAATGTGCCTTTCAAGTAGCCTGTTTGGCTGCAGACATATTGGGCTTTTGTCCAGTCTTTATCCTTGTGTCGGAGACTATTTATAGTCAGTATGTTTCAGGAGTTCAACGTGACGTCGTCGCTCCTCATTACGTTGAGTTTCTTGGCTATTTCTAATGCACCATTCATCCTTTGATCTGCGTACTTCCTGCAAAAGTTTGATTCTCGTTTTGCAAAGCTCTGACTGGTCCAATGCACATCTTGGATACCGTCAGTCTCGATCAGTCTTGTCAGTCTTGAAGGTATAACTTCACCCTTATTGATTTGGTCTTTACATCTTGAATCCGATGGTTTCATTGGCAATAGTCCCGGCACGATTCCTACTACTGACTTATAGTTCTTCCGACGTGTATGGTGCCGCTTTGTTGGAAAGTGGAGACTTCCGTAATATGGATTGATTCAACAACTTGCTTGACGCAGATTTTATCCTGGAGAAGGATATCTACCCAAAAAGTATCCACATTTGTTGTTGCCGGTGACTCGCAGTCAGCACCAACGTTAAAGTGCAGCGTCATTCAGTCTCCTCCATATCGCTTGATACCATAGGTCATTGGTAGATTCAGTCCTCCAACATCTGTCTGTTTTTAATTTGTCTTCCAGTGTGACAGCGCCATTCTGATCAGGGTCGTGGCCAATGGACCTGCCCAGACTAATGTAGTTGGACTCGCTGCCTCGGTTGGGTGAGGCGACTTGATATTGAATGCTAATACTGTTATTTCCCTGTCTCACTATCGTGAAGCTTCTCCAGGGCCAGTTGCACCATGAATTTCTGCAGCGTATGATCTGCGTTGTATCACACACCACCTTCATTGTAATTTAGTTGCGTGACAGCTATGCGGCCTAGTAAAGGTAATAATACTAGTAGAGACAAATATCCACTTCTTGGATGCTGATCGTCCCATTGGTCTGAGTCTCCACAAGGCGGATGAAAAGAATCGTTCAGTTGTAACACCCTTCCAGTGTCTAGCTGCCATGCCACTCGAAGGAAGCACAAGAGCTGGGATACTGCCAGGTCGCCCACGCCTAGAGGCAGAGGTCAGGTTCGAACAACGGATCCTGCTGTCGCATTCCAATCACTGAGCTACGTATTCATTGTAGCCACTATGACCTTTCTGATCCTTCTTTTACGTTGGAACGGAATAAGAAGCTAAGGGGCACTACAACTTGGAACCAGATTTTTTTACTAGTGTTTTACTAGTGGGAGCTGAAGCATGTCACATTGAACAAGTTGGTGTGTACGTTGCTACGTACACACCAACTTGTCCCTTCATCTACATGATCTAGTTGAGCGTTGATGCCATCTACCATGGCCCACTCTTGCCCGACGTTACAGGAGGTGGACATTATTACCCCTTTACTGTTTCCGTATGTTTAATGTGTTTCAGCCGATACGCTCATTTGTCTGTTTGCGGCACCCAGTTATTGTTGAATCCACCACTCGGTCATCACGTTACAATGGATAGTGCCGATCCCCCGCGCTTTACTGCAAAAGCCAAAGTCAGTACGAACTGTAAGAATGTTTATTTCTTTTAGTTAGGAGAATGCATTCTCGAGTGGAAGACTTCATTTTCGTCCCCTTTCCGGCTTTCTGAAGCCACAAAATGGATTGAAAGCTACTTTAAGAGAGAAGGAGGTCACGTCGAACGTGTAGGCCTTTTTCTCCAGTTTGTACTCGATCTTGGAGTTATCTGCCGCGTCGAGAAGAATATACTTGTAGAAAAGTACTTGTGAGTTGCCTCCATTTTTATTGACCCTTATAGCTTCAACGATGATCGAATTGCAGAGCTGTTTTCTGGTTCTTGTCCTGAATCTGTCCTGGTGGAAAATGTGACTGGTAAGTCTGAGCTGTAGCCGAATACCTTAGCGTGCTATGGTGTCCCTGCTTCCGCAACTAACTCCACCATTATTTGAGAAACTGCATCAGGTGCTGCGTGAAACACCAGCAGATAGCTTTATTCTTTGTGATTACGTACAAGGAACGTCTCCACCGGGATTGTCTTATCTACATTGTACTCTTCCGAGATGTTCGGCGTGAAACAGTGTGGGTACATAAACTGAGATCATTAATGACTCGATCGCACACTATTTAGCTATACGTCGATCGGTTTTAACTCAATCCTGCAAACAGTTCGTTACTGTGTGACTACTACTGCTACCTTTTATATTATCGCTGCTATGTGTACTTTGTAGATTGATGGACGAACTGTGACATTTTTTGGTTTCAAAAGTGCTCGATACCTCTCAAAGTCGAATTGACAGTCCATCTTCCGACCATTTCGCATCGTGTGGGGTTTTCTCTACGGTACACCCGTTCTTATTGCGATGAGAGAGGTGTTGTAAATTTAGTATCCTATTTCAGGCAGCACTTTTGACCGTTAATTTTTCTTTTCAATTCGGCTGCCGCGTTTAATCCCTTCATGAAACATTGTATACATATATTTCCTTAACAAGTGTCGTCCACGAGTGTTTTTGGTCGCAGTAGCTACGTTTAATCAGCCATTAAATTTCTCCTCAAGTCATTCTATCTAGGTTTGGACAACCCTGCTCTATCTCAACCCTGGTGCTTTCTCCGGGCCACATAGCAACTCTCATTTGCTTGAAAATAGCTCAAAATATCATGAAACAGAAAGTGGTTAGTTATCACTCGTCACACATCTACTGGTGACAGTCCGGGATAGGTGTTCTTCGCTGTGTCTCCGCATTCTTTCTCTATTTTTCATTCAATAATTAAGGTTTATCAGCTCATGCCTTACTATTTTGATGTTTGCTGTTGATACCAGTCCTACCAACGACCTTCTCCCGTTTCCAGCCCAACAGCTACTTTTAATCTTCAATTTTGAATAAAAAACCAATGAGTTGTTTCACAGTTTGCATTCTTCAGATGCATGCTCATCCTTTTTAAAACGTGAATACCTCTACCTTAACTTTTTCCAACCACCTCTTTAGATGTAATATTTAGGTATGCAAAAAGTCTTTGGTAGAAAGGCTACGCGGCTATCCTATCTAAGTCTGTAACCAGCACTCAACGAAAAGGTGTTTTCGTGGATAACTCCATAGTTACATTGCAATATCGAGGAAAGTCGTTTTCAGCGAATATGGGTCTTTAGAACCTGTTGATAGAAGCATAGATATTGATAGAACGCAAATAATGCGTTCCGCCGAGCAAGAAGCCTATCCACCTACATATCATCATCATGTCATCGACAGCATAACATCAGTGTTCAAAACTGATGTTTCATTGCCGTACGACTGTCATTTGTTTGAAAGTCTTGTTGTGAAGAATGAACAGTCGTCGTGGATGGAGGAAAAACCGAGTGCTACATACTACTACATCCTCCAGGTGCTCAATCAGACGATCCGGTTAGCGACTGCCCACAGGAACGCCACTGACATCAATTAGCAGCCCCAACCATGCATAGATAGGATCACTCAGATACCTTCCTGCAAGGCGAGTTGCACTGACGATGCCCAAACGTATCGTAACGGCTTTCACTCCCTATGCCAGGTCAAAGGTTGACCGACTGCATCCGCACAGCAGCTTAAACTATCGACCGGTAGATGATTTTTAGACTTCAGATTGTTACCATTTGATGTATAGCCAGTAGCCTTTGGCTAGCCACCTCTATAACTTTTAGATTAGTCCTTTGATTCCCAGTGTTTCAGTTTTGCCGCTCCACACTGTAACTGACTTGCCGACCGAAAACCTTTATCCTCGGGGCTTCGTTTTCAGAAAATGGCTCCCATTCGAATTCGTGTCCAGTGCTGAATGAAGGGCGGGATGCAAACGCATCCGTCTACCCGTACAATTACGAGCGTTTGGCAGGCTGCGCGAACTTAAGCCACAGTGAAGCTCAAGCATTGTTTCGAACAATCATTGATCGGTGAGCATTATGAGATTAAAAACAGTTGTGCAACCTTTCATTTCAATCGCCCCTCAATCTCTCGACAGTTTTTTTGAAATCATTGGGTACCCTAAGGAAGAAAAATGAAGATCTAAGCTTAGCACGACTGCTTAACGTACGAGTATGTATTTAATTCTGGTTGATTTCGACCATTTCAAGCATCAGGTTCTTAATATTTTGGAAGCTACGCCAGTCGGTCTCTTCATATCATTTCCTTCTCCAAGTCTGTCAAACTATCTGTCTGGTTGGTCTCATTTTATGCTTGGAGATGAAAACAAAAACTCTTATAGTAAAACTAAGAATCCGGTATTTTTTCTTAAAATACTGTGACATCTGTATGTTTGGAGTCGTACGACGACAAGTACTCCCCCCGTCGTTTGTGTTCAGTGCTCATAGATTTAATTTTTGGCCTTATTGGTGATAATGCACATTGTGAAACTTTCACAGAAAAAGATCATTTCGTGGTGAATGGGTTTGCATGTTTAGAGGTCCAAGCGTTCCCCGCACCTTATGCTGCTTGTTCAAATCTCATTTTGTCTAATTTATTCTGTAAATTATGTGGACTTGAAAGGTTTATTAAACTTTGCTACAGTTAGTCTTCTTCAAGTAAATTGCTGTGGTTGCATGCAGAAGAAGCGGGCTAGTTCTCTGTCACGGTATGATGCTGATTGAGGAACTGCTGAAAGATGGACGTGGCAAAATGAACTTATCAGCGATTCTGAGTTCACAGGTAGGACCAATTTCGTCGTACTTTCGACTGGTGCTTTATACGCTCACTTGTGTCGGAGTCTTGTTGCGCAGTGATCACCGAAAATGACTTAGTGATTACTTCCGACAGCGTCTGGTGGTGTTGCATCAATGTGTTTCAAGAGCAGCTGGAGGTTTTGTTTGTAGCGTCCTGCTTTCAACGTAAGAAATTCGGTTTCTTCTGAGAGTTTGACCAGCTAGGCGTATTTGAGACAATGCCCATTCATTCTTTTTTTCTCTGTATGTTCTTCACCTCTTTAGGTTAGCAGGGCTTTTGGATGTTGATCAGGAATCACTGAAATTATGCACAGACATCCCTAAAGGTGACATGCTCAAGGAGAATGCGTCTTGTGGAAGCGTGCTTTTAGGGTTGTCGGCGTATGCCAACTGCAGAGTGAACATTTTTCACAAAAACGATCGACACGGATGGAATCATGTTTTGCATTCTGTGACAATGGCCTGTCTGGAAACGTTGGCATCTTGTAAGTGCCTTCAATATCTTGTGAAAGTTTTCACAATGGATGCTTTTTTTATCCGAGCAAACCCGCTGCCAGTAGGGGGTAAACAATGAATTAGACTTAGTTGCTTACTGTAGTTTTACTGCAGCATAATAAGCAGATCGTCTGACGTGGAGTTTCGCTTGGGCTTCGTTCAACTGACAGCTCTAACCCTGCTTGGCATTCGTTTTTATCTGTTCCGTACCCTTCGAACAACTCGTTCCAGCCTTATAGGCCTCAAAATTATAAGATCACTACTAAGCTGAGAAAGGTTCTTACGCTACAAGTTTATCTTCGTATTAGCGAAACACAGAACCTTTGATTTGACATTCACGTCGTGAAAAACTCCTTTACGTCTTCTACTGTCGAGCTTGAGATTAGATTGTGTGAACTACCGATGGGCTACGCGTTCACTACATGTAGGTACTACCATTTCCTTCCTGACTGACGTAAGTTGCTTATCTTTCTCCTGGAATCCATATTTGTTCACACGTGTTTTTAACTCTCACCCACAAACACACTTCGAACCGGTATATTCCGTTCGTAAAGAACATTGGATTAACCTACTCGGGAATGAACTTTTCAGTTTGTCAGTTTTATCTGATCACTTTATACTTCAAGGGCCCATGAAGGTAAACCACTTATGGTCACCCCATGGATCTTCAAGGACCATTTGATTTGGCACCTCGCTGTCAGTTGGAATTAGATTAAGTTACTTTCGTACGACTGACCACGCATCGAGCGGGGAACTTCGTTCGGTAGGTAATACCGGGTAAAAGTACCTGTGACGTTAAGCAGCTAACCAGAAACAGTCACGTGCCATTCGTACACATTTTCGGTAGATCAGACTCAAGAAATCTGCGAAAATCCAAGAACTGAGTGTTTGTAGAACACTCGGGAGATTCCTGTTTTTTGAGGTGGCTGGTTCAATGTACTTAGACGTCTGCGCCACAGCCGATCGCTTCTGGATGTGTACAAAGACTGGAGCTATCTCGCTTTCTACGGCTGGGTGAATTTCGAACATTGGAAGTTTGTGAGTTGGAATCACTCCGGAGATGCGCAGTACTAATCATTTTCAATAAGACTGAAGCTGCTCCACAGTACTCCTCTTTTCGGCATTCGTTGACTTACAAAACGAAGTCCCGTCCTGTGAAAATCGACTCCTTGTGTCAAGACTTCTGTTCTGCTATGTATTCTGATCTGTTCCTTTTGGACGGACACCCAAACTATTTCGTTCGTCTGACTGTCACACATATAAAGCTAATGTATTTAATTGTGTATTGCCGCTTTTCTTCACAGGGCCGCAGAATCATGTTCATCGGGAGGAATTATGTGAAGGCCTTTGTGTACCACACGCTATCCTTGGGACGGCTATTGATTTCGCGCGCACTGAGTTTAATGGAGATGGTCTTCTCCTGAAGAGTGTTGTGTCCCTATTAGACTTGATTTTCTGTGAGTTATGCGTGATTGCTGTCATGGTGTCATAGCCATGTTTTACTATGAGATGAAAACTTGAAACGACTTTGTGCAATTTCCTTTCTTTCAAAAGCACTATGTTGGGTCAACTTTCATCTTTTTGCCCCGAGGTAATGCGTGTTTGGAGGTCGGGTTTGAAACGAAGCTAAGAGACCACGAAAACTCCGCATTCCAACTGCCATAAGGTTGCGCACCAGTTAAAAAAGTAACAACCATAGGTGGGCGAATTTTCATTATTCCACAAAAGTTATTGCATTTTTCATGGTTGCTAAAGCCTTTCTTCAAGTCGGACACCGATTAATCGACGGTTTTGCGGCAAAGCACTTCCGTTTCAGAATCACTTTTTTTGTACAATTCGCTCGACCACTCTGTCCTGCTTTGCTGGAAAGCTAGGCCTGATTTTCTCGACCCGAGACATGCAGTTTCCATTAAAAATCACCATAATACCGTGGCACTGTTTTATAAACCATATGAGTTGCTCCCACCCACAAACTAACGATCATCCGCTGCGCATTACTTTTTACAAATGAGTAGGACTTTGAATTCTTCTTGATCCTGCTTGAGCACTGGCGTTGAGGTCGCATCAGAAACTCTCAGGCTCTCGTAACTTCGTTATTTTAGGCTGAGTGGTATTTCATGTAGATAAAGTGTTTCCAGCTCGATGACTGAAGAATTTTGCCAGAGTGAAGAATTCAGATTACGAAAAAAGTTGATTCAAAGCATTTTTGTCTTTTGAGTGTCTCCTAGTTGGGGATTTCTTGGAGGGTCCTTGAAATGCTCTGCACAGAAAAAAAAACTAATCAGGGCCGTTTCCTCAACGTGTCTTAAAAAAAGGAGGTCTTCACTATGAGTAAATACCGCCCGGTGTCATCGGTGGATGCTGAACTGCGCGGGCAAATACTACTTCCCGGTTACCCAGGCCGAAGAAGGGGGTTTGGTTGAAGCACCCCACCTTGAGCCTTTGACTCAAAAGTCTGACCCACAAGGCAGGGGGAGGACGTAGGGTTTTGTTTGAGGACCCTGACCCTAGTCTCTGACTCAAAAGTCACATTCACACTTGGTGAAAGTAACATTTACCCGTATAGTGCCAATGCAATTCATAATGTCTACGTTCGGGCGCATGACTGCCCTTGGCATACACTTACCTCCACACGGGTTCTGTGCGTAAGACGATAATCCTGGGGTGAGGGGCGAGATTTATGAAGTAGGTTGTCGGTACGCTTCTTCCTTCGATTTGTGCGGGGTCTTGCGAGATCGGGAATTTGGATTTTCTCACCACACCACATGGATTGTATTGAAGGGTCACTGCTCTGTTGCCTTTCAGAGACATGCTGATAGCTTGATCCACTTGACCAGTCGATTGAATGACTATTAGCCACGCTGCTCTCATTTGTCCCTGTTAAATTTATCACCAAATCCTCGGCCTTAGTTATTTTAAACCATCGTCATTATATCCTTGACTTTTCCTCTAATATTTTTGTACAGTTACAGCGTGGCACATTGCCTTTCCTAAGAATAAGACTTTGTGAGTGTTGGTTTTTGTTTGAAGTTGCCAGTTGGCTGAATCTCTTTAGATTGCGTGTAAGTGGGATATTAAACAGCGAACATTTGTGAAAGAGATTTAATCTCTAGGATCACCTTATTACTTGTGCACGTGGTGTGTTATTGTCGAAAGCAGTTTAGTATTCAACTACAGTTTCCACTACACTGACACCCACCCATTCGTGAGCTTTAAAAAATTCATGCTTTAAAAATGAACATTAGATCCTTACTGTTTTCGCGTGGTCTTGCCCTCGTACATCACTGATTGTAATTTAAATCGCTTTTTTGCGGCATTTACTCACTGTTTCGTGTTCCTCTGTTCCTATCAGCACGTCATCGCAGTAATCCTTCATCGGTTGAGCGCTTACAACAGGTGAGCACTGATCCTTCCAGTGCTCTGACACCAGCTGTTCGCCGGGCATCTGCACCAAATAACGTTGCAGAAGGCTGCGAAGTGAAGGACACTACAGCTCAGTTTCTTCTCCCGCCACTGGGCAATATGAGTTGCTCCCACCCACAAACTAACGATCATCCGCTGCGCATTACTTTTTACAAATGAGTAGGACTTTGAATTCTTCTTGATCCTGCTTGAGCACTGGCGTTGAGGTCGCATCAGAAACTCTCAGGCTCTCGTAACTTCGTTATTTTAGGCTGAGTGGTATTTCATGTAGATAAAGTGTTTCCAGCTCGATGACTGAAGAATTTTGCCAGAGTGAAGAATTCAGATTACGAAAAAAGTTGATTCAAAGCATTTTTGTCTTTTGAGTGTCTCCTAGTTGGGGATTTCTTGGAGGGTCCTTGAAATGCTCTGCACAGAAAAAAAACTAATCAGGGCCGTTTCCTCAACGTGTCTTAAAAAAAGGAGGTCTTCACTATGAGTAAATACCGCCCGGTGTCATCGGTGGATGCTGAACTGCGCGGGCAAATACTACTTCCCGGTTACCCAGGCCGAAGAAGGGGGTTTGGTTGAAGCACCCCACCTTGAGCCTTTGACTCAAAAGTCTGACCCACAAGGCAGGGGAGGACGTAGGGTTTTGTTTGAGGACCCTGACCCTAGTCTCTGACTCAAAAGTCACATTCACACTTGGTGAAAGTAACATTTACCCGTATAGTGCCAATGCAATTCATAATGTCTACGTTCGGGCGCATGACTGCCCTTGGCATACACTTGCCTCCACACGGGTTCTGTGCGTAAGACGATAATCCTGGGGTGAGGGGCGAGATTTATGAAGTAGGTTGTCGGTACGCTTCTTCCTTCGATTTGTGCGGGGTCTTGCGAGATCGGGAATTTGGATTTTCTCACCACACCACATGGATTGTATTGAAGGGTCACTGCTCTGTTGCCTTTCAGAGACATGCTGATAGCTTGATCCACTTGACCAGTCGATTGAATGACTATTAGCCACGCTCCTCTCATTTGTCCCTGTTAAATTTATCACCAAATCCTCGGCCTTAGTTATTTTAAACCATCGTCATTATATCCTTGACTTTTCCTCTAATATTTTTGTACAGTTACAGCGTGGCACATTGCCTTTCCTAAGAATAAGACTTTGTGAGTGTTGGTTTTTGTTTGAAGTTGCCAGTTGGCTGAATCTCTTTAGATTGCGTGTAAGTGGGATATTAAACAGCGAACATTTGTGAAAGAGATTTAATCTCTAGGATCACCTTATTACTTGTGCACGTGGTGTGTTATTGTCGAAAGCAGTTTAGTATTCAACTACAGTTTCCACTACACTGACACCCACCCATTCGTGAGCTTTAAAAAATTCATGCTTTAAAAATGAACATTAGATCCTTACTGTTTTCGCGTGGTCTTGCCCTCGTACATCACTGATTGTAATTTAAATCGCTTTTTTGCGGCATTTACTCACTGTTTCGTGTTCCTCTGTTCCTATCAGCACGTCATCGCAGTAATCCTTCATCGGTTGAGCGCTTACAACAGGTGAGCACTGATCCTTCCAGTGCTCTGACACCAGCTGTTCGCCGGGCATCTGCACCAAATAACGTTGCAGAAGGCTGCGAAGTGAAGGACACTACAGCTCAGTTTCTTCTCCCGCCACTGGCAACTCCCCTACACGAACGAAGCATTCCCTTTGTAGATGACTCAAACTTTTTCTGCTCCATCAGTTCCAGGAGAGTTTTTTCATCCGTCCGTGTTCCTTCGAATCCACCGAACAATGATTTAGGTTCGTGATTGTCTTGACTTGTTTCCCACTGTTTATTACGAACTCAGTCCGTCAGTCTCTCTTGCCTTTGGCCCAGCCGTGGTGCTCTTTGGACACCATTTTTATTCTCCTCACCGGTAAAATAAACAATCGCTGCCCTGTTGCCCATGACATATAAGTGACATAATTGTAGTGCACTATTCCATGCTCTATAATATCTTATGTAAATAATCGATTTAAATCACTCAATCGATTTGCCAACCGGAGTTCGCATTTCTCAAGTCTTACTCGGGCAAGTTGACATCATTTGTGTAGACACTTTTGCGTCCAACCGCAGCTGTGTCTCATGTATTGCGCTGCAATTTCGCTTAATTGATGGTCGGCCAATTCGCTGGGTTTGTCATTTGTACCGAAAAAGCGTCGGCATCAATCTAAGCTACATCACTGATGCGCTTTTGTGCCGGTGTACAGAATCAACTTTGTTCTTTTCTCCAAGCCGATCTTGTCTAACAGTAGCGAATTCCATCGTCGTTCAGCTTATTCCCGTTCACAACGAGCTGACTGCTTTCTGAGGATGCAATACACGTCACGGGAGCGGATGTGTTCCCTGTAGTTATTTGCTTATTCAAAAAAATTCTGTACATGCAGCCGCCCAAACAGTTGTGTTCGATGAACTAAGATTGGGATGTCTCTGTACCGGTGAAATGTGATTTACTGTCCTTTCGTCGACTTGTGTATTTGTTAGGTGGTATGTGTCTGCCCACTGCGGCTGACATTCCAAGTCTCGGTATTTATCTTGAAGCAACCTATTTATATATCTGTTGATGTCGCATCTGTGTGTTGTTTTTGGTGCATCACTCATCTCTTCCGAACAGCGACTTCCGACTAAAGTTATTTTTTAGTGATACCACATACGGATCCGGGGCCTATGAGTATCTTTAGCTGTCATCGGTGGTATAATGATGTCATGTATCTGATGTTCGTTTTTCCTTGGATTTCAGTTCCTAAAGTTTTCGCTTCTTGTCTGGTTTGAGTGTAACCTATCAAAAAAAGTGCACAGTCTTGTCTCAACTATGTGAAAATTTTCATTTGTGTAGTAAATATTTTTTTGGCGTTATGCCAGGTTCAGGTTTGTTCTAGGGATTTTGTCGCGTATCCTTAATGAAATGGGGATCTCGTTTTGTCTGAATGATGGACCCTGCATCATTCAATGAAGAATCAGCGGGGCAGCCTATTGGTGAAGACACAAACTATTAGTCGGAGGTTCGCCCCTGAGGCCTTCATGTCTTGCTCGACATGTATGACAGTTGTATCCCAAAAAAGATGCACCAGTTGAGCATTTTTCTCCATCCCTAGTTGGTGATATCACTTTGACACATATCTTGTCCGACTAGGAATTTCGATTCGATGGAACAGATTTTGTTATACTGATTCGTTTTCGCTCACTTCTTTCATTTTTCATGTCCATGTATTCAGGTATGCTGTCAGATGACGTATATCACCCTTTTTCGCCCATCTTTCAACGTCGCAGAACTTGTGCTCGGGCAGAGTTGATCGAACACTCGACACCAACGGTAATTTCTTCCGTGTTGGATGCATAGCCTGTGCTTCATTACTTTGTTCGAGGGTTCTCAGTGTTTCCTCTAGTAGTCAGTCTGCCGCGTGATATAAGCTTTGGGTTATACTGTGATACTGATGAACGCGTGGCGAAACACACAGTCGTCCCCTTATTTAATGTTATTTTCGACCATAAAATGCTGCAACCAGCTACCACCTGCTACATTGTAAAGACTTCGATAATCAAGCATTTAAACCCGTCCTAGTATTAATCGGTATTCTGTCAATGGTCCAAACGGTCTGTAGCAGGTTCGTCGAACTTATCGCAAGAATTTCATCGTGTTTGGTTACTCGGCCGTCCACCAAAGGAACGACATCTGGCCTTGAAGTTCAGTTGCGAGCGGAAAGATAGTTCTGTTCAGAGCTTATGTGTTGCTAAATAGACCAACTCACTTTGCGAACTTGATTTCCGTCGGAAACACCCGGGGTCTACCACCGGAACATTTTTATTTGCATGTCTTCCATACACTGTGAACTGTGATTCGTGATTCTTGAAAATTAGAGCTTCGCGCTAAAAATAATGCCGAATAATGCATGATCAACTGATGTAGTTCAATCGTAACTGATAGCCATATACAGGTCTCATGAGTTCTTAACACGTCTCACATTTCTCGCATTGTTAATGATAAATCAGTTTTTTTATCAGACTCAGTCAATTTGAAAACGGGCTCACTCATCATCCTGGGTTTCATCATAATGCGGGGACAGTGCTCACTTGCTCTTTCCATTATATGTATGCTTAGTGTACTTATCAGGCGAATTTCCCCACCTTGGTCAGTTTCCTACATCTTAATAAGAAACATCCTCAACATCTTAAAATGCCTTAATACACGTGACTGATGACTTACCTGATTTTCTGCGCCAATGGATGGTTTGATAGAAAACCTGGTTGCTGGTTCACGTTTTATAATTTTAAAAGCACTAAAGTAGACCAATTATTTGTGGTCTAAGTGGTTCTATAGGAAGTCTGTTCGTTCTTTCCCGGTCAGATCACCTGATAAATACCCACCTACTTGATCACGACAATAAGAAATATGATGGTATATATCGGCTTGCGAGGTTGGACGACGCATCTATCTCTGGTTCATTCGATGGTCCGCCGGACTGCCAAACCCATTACCAAGCTGGCGCAATGTCTCTGCCTTTTTGAACGATGATTTCGTTCGAAATTTACGAGGTTCATTCGAACAAATACCATACCTTGCACGATTGAGTATCATACTTTAACTGTCTCAAAAGGTTGGCAACCAACTGGTTTCCATGCTTTAAACGCTTTCCGTTTTCTCCACTTAGCAAGAGGAGGTTCACTTTTTTCACCAGTAAAATCTGGGGCGGAATGTCGCTTTTCACGCACTGGAATTACTGTGCTTCATTACAGTCGGACGTGGGTGCCGTGAGGAACCGATCTGGCCCTCTCAAATATCTCCCGAAATACCCTTTTGCCCCTTCTGAGAAAGTCCTGTATTTCCGTGACTAAGGTGAATGGCGAAAACCGATGGCCAGCCCTTTCATTGGGTTGACTAAACATTGACTGTCTTTGTCGCCCAGGAACTAGCCAGAACGTGATTTGAAACTACCAGCGAAACCGATCTGACTCTCATGTGTGGATGAATCCTCGCTTCAGAGTGCCTCAGGTTTAAACAGATTCTGCTCACCGGTAGACGTGTGATTAAAAAATGGATAACAGGTGCTCAACAGGCGTACGAATCATATCCATAGTCGCTGGCTCTCCGAGAGCTTTGAACGTTATGCTTCATACCGATGCCTTGTGGATTAGATTCCTGTCACTCAGAGATTGGAACTTACCATGAAGTGACGGTTTGTATACCTGGTCGACCCACTGAACCATACTGGAGGTGTCCACACGACACTCACTGAGTCTCATACCAGCTTGGTCACTGGTTAGAGGTCTGACGAGTAGTCTTCTGGTCCTTCAGTTTGGGGGTCGGAACATATATGAAGGCTTGAAATGCCTTTGCATTTCCCGCCAAACCCCAACTGACTGTAGATCTGACGCCATCGGAGACAAGTTTTATGACGCCCTGAATGCCCTGTTGTGACGAACTAGACACTCAGATATCGTTTTGGTTACCGGAGATCTGAATACACATGTGGACAGTCTTAGCGCATCTGAGACTCAATTAGGTGATCGACATGGATTGGACTCGGTACGTACGGACAATGGTGAACGATTCATTCAGTTGCGTGCTGACCACAGGCTGTTTTCATGACTTACTAAATTCCATAAATAGCCGAATTCGTCTGGCCACATGGTGTATTTCAACGGCGTGTCGGCCACGAACTCAAATCGATCACATTGCCATCAATTACCGATGGCGCGGATCAATAACTGACTGCTGGTCGTTTTGGAACACATTTGTGGATTTCGACCACGCGCTCGTCCGAAGTCGCTTCTCCCTTCGTTTTTCAGGGCCGCGTAAGGTGTGGGAAAACCGCTTAGCAACTGAGAGACCGGCAGATCCGGATGCTAGACGAACTGACCAGAATTGTCTTCTAGAGCCTCTCCAAAGTGCTCCACCATCAGATGTGAATTCGTACTTGGGCGAGATGGCCATCTCTTTGCATAGTGCTGGGAATTTCGCCTGTGGCATGGCACCACCAGGCGCACTCAAGCACTGGATATCAGATCGAACGGAGAAATATCCCAGCTGGCCCGGAACATAACTTGATGGGACGAATAATCAGTCGTCAGATTAAAGTGCGCTTACGAGACGATCGTGAGGTCTGGTGGACACGAAAAACCAAGGAAACGAAAGAGGCCCAGAAAACCGGCAATACCCGAAGATTGTTTCACTTGACCCATATGAGTGGCCCCGGAAGCCATCTTTGAGTGAAACCATCAAGGATCGGAATGGAGTGACCATCGTGAATTAAGAAGAACGCCTGAACCGGTGGGCCGAAATCTTCGAATAACAGCTATCGTGGCCACCAGCCGCCACTCATCTGGAGTCCACGGTTGATGTAAAACCCTGGACGATGAGCGTGGAACCCTCTACGGTCTCAGAGGTTTATGACCGCATATTTTCTTTCCAGCGCCACCGAGCCTCTGGTCCGGATGACCCCCCACCTGCATTGTTAAAAAAATGGGGTGAAGTACTCAGTCAACGCTTGTCTGAGCTGCTTGCCTGCATTTGGAAAAAGGAGACTGACCCAGACAACTGAAGGGAGTCGGTAATAAGCCCCATTTGCAAAAAAGGGGCTTGTATTGAGTATGGTAACCACAAGGGGATCAGCTTAACCCCGGTTGTAACGAAACTTCTGGCTTCACTTGTGCTTCGTCGCCTTATGGTGGCTCGTGAATCAGTGACCTCAGACTGGCAAGTGGGATTCCGGCCTGGTAGGGATTGCGTTGACCAAATCTTCACAATCCGCCAGGTGCTAGAATGACGCCATACATACAAACAACCCACATTGTTAGTATTTCTGAATTTTTAATGCGCATTTGACTCAGTTGGCAGGTCTGTTCTCCTTGACACGCTTACCCATCAAGGAATGTCCTGGAAGTTTGTGAACATAATGCGTTCTTTGTATTCTCAGACTTCCGGACGTGTGGGAGTATACAGGGAGGTCCCCAAAAGCACCCGTACACAAAGTGGTTTCCTGCAGGTGTACCCCTCTGTCCACTCCTATTTAAATTCTCAATCAATGAACTAATGAGACAAACGCTGGAATGTCTTCAAATCCCCGGTGCTCAAATAGCCCGTGACGAAGACCATGTCGATTTAGAATATGCAGACGACATCGCCCTCGTTTTCAAAGGGAAGAAGGCATATGTGTTTTTGGATGAACTCGTCTTTGGGTATGCACCGTAAACGTACAAGGTGCAAGGTCATGCTCGCGGACATGCAGTCACTGATCTCGCCATTAACAATACAGGGAGAGACGAATCTGGAAGGCTCGGGTAGCGCTCGAGATAGCTATGTTGTCAAAGCGATATATCCCTGAATCTCAAGGGACTTATGTGTTAGACTGTTTTGTTGTATGGGTGAGATTTGGCCTGGTGGAGCAGCGAAACTGACATGTCTCCAGGTGTTCGATAATCGTTGTCTCAGCACCATAGCTCGTGTGGGTTGGTGTCAACGAATCCGTAACGGGGCGAGATGGCCAAAGTGGTTAGAGCGCGAATTTACTGACCGGAAGGTCCGTGGTTCGAACCCGACCTCTGCCACTCGACTTCCCCTGTCTAGGCTTGGGCGACCTGACAGTATCCCAGCCCTCGTGCCTCCTTCGTGTGGCATGGCAGCTAGGCACCGAAAGGTTGCTACAGCTGAATGACTTATGACTTATAATCAGAAAACGAGTGTTCGGTTGAGCAGCGGAAGCTTCCATCTGAGAATGCATCCAGCACCAGAAGCTGCGTTGGTTGGCATATGTGGTGCGTATGCCGAACCATCGTTTGTCGAAGAGAGTGCTGTTTTCCATACCCAACAGAGTGGCAGAAACAGGTCGACAACCCTTGACCTGACAGAGGGGAATAAAAAAGGTTACGAAGTGTTTGAGTACTGTCGGCATGGTCCTCATCCTTCCAGGATGGCGACTGCATGATCCAGTTTGGGTATGGTTGGAGATATGACTGCTAATGTTCATACATGGCTTTTAAATAAATCATGGTTTTATGGCGGCGAAGCGTCAATGTTGAACATTGATTTCGTGCTGTGCATGATGGTGATGACGGAGTGGATTCTTCACAGACTACGAGCGGAGAACTCGAAGTGAGCCTCATTTCTCGAACCGAACAAAGGGGAGGCGTTCTAACCACACAACCTCAGGATATTACTGCTGCCTTTAATTTCGATGCTCTCAAACTCTCACAAATATCTTTTTTCCGGAGCGCAGCACATTTCTTGCACCACATTGTACGGAGTTCCAATACACAGTTGTATTCTAGACCATCGCAAATCATATTTTAATTCAACCCCCAATTTCATTCATCAGACTCATGCTAGGAGTATTAGTTGTTCTGTGCAAACAAGAGAGATTTCTAACTTCATTCCTCGACCAAAGTAACTAATTAACGATGCAATACATATGTCTTTCAAGGTTGCAGTTGATACTATTGGGTCTTTAAAGCAACCAGGTCAACAAACCGCACTTGTCCAATCACTAGACATCCTGAAACTCAACTATGTGGCCCTGGACGTCTGGCTGCAACACCTGGAAGAGTAGGCTTGTTTCCACAGCGGTCGCATCCTTATTGACCATATGTCCACTTTACTAGACTGACTGGAAGATGGAAGAGGAAACAGATGACATGAGAGTTCTTTTCAAATCACCAAACCTCACGCAACCTGTGCAACCTCGGTCACTTGCTCGATTGACAAGATATGAGCTTGTCGTCGAAAGACCATGTAAACAACTCCACTGTATGCGCTGTGCTACTCTAGGCATCGAAAACATGGGTTATCCGTTTTGGCCGATCAACGCTTACCAACTATTGCACACGTCTGGTCAGAGCAGCGCATCACTAATGACGAACTTTGCTATCAGGGTACCAATATCAAACTTTAAGCTCTTAAAAATAAACTGACTACGTTGGGTTGGTCATGTCTTGTGAACATCTCAGCATCGATTCACGCGAATCGCTCTACTATCACTTGCTGGATACGACTTGAGAGGAGTACCTGGTAACCGGTAAACCTGGTGGCTACATATGAGGATCACTACTGTTCCGCTCGAATCTGTCGTTCCTCCCCGGATGGGGATTCGAGTACCAGGGATGTGCGAGGATAGAGAATATATCTGAACTAGCCTAAAATCAATGCCAATGGTGTACATGCCGTGGCGTTTACTGACATGAACTTTTAGAACCCTCTTGTTTCCTCTTTGGCTTATCATGTTATGGCTCTCAGGCCTATGCAACTTCATCAGGTGACTGAATTTGGATAACAGTTGCCTCGGTACTATGTGAGTTCGGTTGTCTTGTATGGTGTTGCTTTCGTAATACGACTAACCGCATCCCCATCTCAATGATTTTTCGTGGTCTGTGAGTCACACTTTCCTATGTTTTGCTTCAATTCTGACTGTAGAGATGTCTTCCACGAGATGATGCTCCCACGTCTCTCTCCGGGCCACTGACCCACAATCAACTGAGCACAAATGATCTCCCCTCTTTGAAGTGAGTCTCGTTCCTTCGCTGCTATGATAATGCTAGGATGTGCTGATTTACCGACATCCGAGAACGATGTGCATGCCGAGAACGAAAGTGGTTTGTTTTCTGATTAGTACATTCTGTTCTGTAGAAAGTTTGCAGTTCTGTTTTCAGCTGAACTGACGGAACTGTTTTGAGATATAGATGCAAATTTCGATGTGGCTCATTAGAAGGGTGTGAAAGAGACCACGGAGAGTTTATGCGTTGTCTCCTTGACCCTCCCTGCGCTTAGCTGGAGATATTTCAAGAAATGGCAGCTGATCAATATGCGTGCTGTCTGTCTGATTGAGGGCTTTGAGGTGTAGGCACGTGGGGTTACCCGCGATAGGCCGACACAAGGTCCTACCATCATCCAGGTTTCTCTTTTCAATTTATACCTTTAAGTGACAATCATGTAAACTTTGTGATACGGCGGGGAAATATCACTTTGAATGCTGATGTCTTTTGGATGGTAATGAACTGTGGATGTTTTTCGAAACTAGGGTACTCTTCACGTATGATTTTAACTGTCTTGAGGCTTCGTAAGGATATTTTTACGAGGCCTTACTGGGAAACAAATTTATTAACGCTATCCTCTGATATGTTCTTTTTCCTCGATTGCGTAACTCATGGTTGTTGCGATGTTTAGGCAACAGTAGATCATACTGACCCTCCTAAGTTCCACGTACTAAATTCTGCCAGTCAGCCACCTAGTGTTGGCAAAGTTTATCAATGATTTTCATTACACATCACTGAGGAGCCGGTAGATACGTGACCATGTGATATGGTTTCCGTAATTGAAGGCCGAGCTGGAGATATTCAAGAAATGGCAGCTGATCAATATGCGTGCTGTCTGTCTGATTGAGGGCTTTGAGGTGTAGGCACGTGGGGTTACCCGCGATAGGCCGACACAAGGTCCTACCATCATCCAGGTTTCTCTTTTCAATTTATACCTTTAAGTGACAATCATGTAAACTTTGTGATACGGCGGGGAAATATCACTTTGAATGCTGATGTCTTTTGGATGGTAATGAACTGTGGATGTTTTTCGAAACTAGGGTACTCTTCACGTATGATTTTAACTGTCTTGAGGCTTCGTAAGGATATTTTTACGAGGCCTTACTGGGAAACAAATTTATTAACGCTATCCTCTGATATGTTCTTTTTCCTCGATTGCGTAACTCATGGTTGTTGCGATGTTTAGGCAACAGTAGATCATACTGACCCTCCTAAGTTCCACGTACTAAATTCTGCCAGTCAGCCACCTAGTGTTGGCAAAGTTTATCAATGATTTTCATTACACATCACTGAGGAGCCGGTAGATACGTGACCATGTGATATGGTTTCCGTAATTGAAGGCCGAGCGCCGCTATGTTCCGTCTAAGTGGAAGCTACTCATATTGCTGATCAGCGACTCGTGACCAAACGGTTAGGTTTTGGTATCGAAACTGAATTTCGTGAGAGGTGCGCTGCTAATGATTCCAAACAAGGACGAAACAGCTGTACGGTGCTTCCTGGCTTTTCATCATAGATTGGCTTCACTAATAGGATGAATTCTTTCCTGAATAATGTGAAATCGTAGGTTTTACCCTTCGTGGACGACATCTTCGAAAAATTCTGTTTGAGAAAACAGGTTTCACTTATCCTCCCATAACCTGAAACTGCATATATGTCACCTATGGTATCATGCTTAGCAATCGTAGCATATCAGTTAGCGTTTAGTTGTAGTCTTAGATCTAGACTTCTTCCTAAATCTGCGACAGACGGAGAACTATTCTGTACGATGCTAGTGTTTCAACAAATGTGAATACCAATCATGGTGAAGACCAGACTACTAGAAAGCAATTCTGAATGTTCGCGACCTTTTGCTTTATGCAAAGTTTGCGAAGTCTAACGGTTTCTTACCACAGCATCTTCGTAACCATTGTGAATTATGTCAATTCTTTTATGTTCCAGACAAAACTGTGGTAGTTTCAAGGCCATTTTGAAAATATTTATACAACACAGCAGAACAGGTTGTATTTCACTGTGGAAAAAACTTTGGGTAACCAGCTCCACACAAGCTCTACTTTGCAGTTGTAGCAGATGATTGTCGAATAAACACGATCGGTGCACATATTACCCAACAACCGTTACGATCAGCTTCATTTTATTGCATGCTTGCTACCCTACATGCCAACTTTCTGTATAAAATATAATCCAAATTTATTACGGTTTCGTGATCTTCATTTTTTCAGTACAATCGCTGATTTGGTGGGATCCTGTAAGATTGGTCCAACCAATGGTTCATTAGATGCCGGTGATAATCGATGTCGATCAACCACATGTCCAACCGTATCTCGATATCCTGCGTCTGATTACCAACAAGAAAATCTTATTGGAACTCATCCACTTTCCAGTGGTACGTCTGCTGCAGAGTCACGGACCCAACTGTTATCTGCGGATCCGGACGACCTGATACTAGCTAGTCAGTTGGCCTTATTATTCCTACCACCGTTGATCTATACTCGTTTACAAGTACTGGTCCACCTGTTGCGACGAGTCTTGGACAATCACGTCAATGTGGCTGTAGCGCTTTCCCCCTCTGGCGCAAACAGAGCGAATCATGAGCATTCAAACACGTATGACTTCGTGTTAAACACTGTAAGTTTCCAGCTTTCGGTTAAACATGCTGGTTGAAATTCAAAATGCATTCCAGTTGTAACCTTGATCTTTTGCAGGATACTCGGCCTTTCCTTCAGCTGCGTTGAAGCACCGCGAAGCGTAGACTGTGTTGAATAACTTTCTTCAAATGTATCAGTTGAATTGCTAGAAGAATGGCCTCTCGCAATTATATGGGGCATGTATCACATACCATTTAGCTTTTTAACTCAGGATTCAACCTGGATCATATAAAGAAATAGGAACAGTGGATTCCATGCTTCGGGGTACCATTACATATCCACTAATGAGGTCGTTCCCTAGTGACCTCCAGCAAAACGGTATCCTCGAGAGAGCTAGGACCATACTAGCAAAACGACCAGAATGTCTGTACTGCTCCATAACTATCTGCGTTATCCTCACCTCACATCACACGGGGCTGGTTTCTCTGATAGAATATCTCGGCTTGAAGGATGAATTGTGAGGATTTTGTCACTGTTGAGGGCACTAGAACTCATGTAACCAAAGCGACCCGGATGAAATATCTATTATATGGTCTCCCAATGGGCACTGATTTTTCTCCCGGTTTGAATGGGAATGAGACTCCAGGACATTTTTAGCTATGGCGTCGACAGCCCGTTGATCTACTCTACTTCTTGGGAAGCCCTGCAGTGAAGATGATAGGCTTGATTTGGTGGAGCTATTGGCCACATGATGAAGTCGTGTTAGTCATTTTACTAACCGTTGCTGTCATCCATCCAGAGTTTCCATCTACCACTGTAAAAGCCATGAATGCAACTCACAGCTGGCCGGTTTAAAAAGTCCCGTCGGGGCAAGCAATCTATTGGATTTGTCTGAGTCAAGTATTGTGGGTGATTCTTCTGGAAACCAACTGGTATACCTCTGATTTGTTGATGTGCTGTGCTCGCTGTAAATTGTGTTTCGCCAACGGTCGGGCAATCGTGCATATCGGCCATAGGAAAAACCTATACGCCCTGTTTATCGATTATGCAATATGACATACAGACAGTACACACTCCAACGCCTCGGAAACAAGCCACTACCGCTGACCCCGTATGTGTGGGAGTTTGGCGAAAGCCATTAGTCCTTTCTATTCAGTTAGTGATATTATATTCAATCGACTCATATGAACCTACAAAGCCACATAAGTAGGTATTTCACGTCGGTTCACTCATCTTCAAAGTTGAATTTGGGCCGATCTGGCCAGCTTATTGCCAGTTCCCCTCCAAATATTCAGAACAACCCGGCTGATTACACAGCCTCTTAGAAATTCCTATTCACTCCCTTCTCTTGGAGGACGGAAGGGGTTATCCGGCGCTTTATTTGGGTTGACAGAGTTTGCTAAACCTCTAGTGGACAGCGTTGTAAGGTTTCTTTGGCCCGTAACCACAGCTTTACAAGAGTCGGATCAGATGAGTCGACTTAGTGAGGGTGACCAAGCATCCCGTGTGACTAGTCACCATGAAAAAGGACTCCTTGATTATCCCTCAGTCATCGACTCTTAGTGAATTGCGCACTGGATGAATCGTCCCTCCGACCCCACCCGTCAAACCATCGACCGAAACCTCTTGAAGGGGGCCCACAAATAAGTCTCGTCTGAATAGCTGGGAAGAATGGCGCCCAGCCCCCTTTGAAACTATCGCAGTGGGACTCAAGGGAAACAATACCGGCTCGTTGGGGCTCCAACTGAACTATCACTATCAGTTCAACCACATTCCACATTTATCAGCACCGAGGAGAACCTCTGCACAGTTCCTCTGAACCTCATCACGGTGTGACGGTATCTAGGCATCCAATTGAGTTATTTTGGCATCCACAGAGTTTTTACTACCAGGTTGGTCAGTGGATGTAGGTCTGTCAAGCGCAGTCTCCTGAACCTTCGAGTTGGGTGTTGGAAGAGGTGTAGCAATTTGCTCTTTTTTTACTATGGACTACTCTAGTAACCTGAAACCAGCCACAGCTGCTTTGGGGCTGTGCTTCTGTTTCAAACGCTTTGGTTGAGGACTGCAGTCGTCATGGGAGTATTTTAGACCATTTCAAACCAGAGCGAAAAGCTGTGTATGAAGCGTCTTAACACACCTCATCCTGAACTAATCTACTGATCGAAGAGTCCTGATTTGTTATTAAGTGCCACCTCGCTTCAACTTTTCATATGCCAAGGGAACGCTTGTAATCAAATATTGAGGAAATTCAACGTCCTCGGTTCGGAAGAACAAAATCTCGCACTTATAAGATAAAACCATCCTCACAGCTGCCGTGTATAGCTTTAGCTTCAGCGAAGTTCGTCTTTGAAGCAGCGAATGATGTGAGTTGAGGAACGTTGCGCGCGCATTCAATACCCGCCCATTCACCTCAGCTGTCATAGTACTATTACTGGATGTGGGGACCAATCAAGAAACTCTAGTTCTTCATTCAAATTTCAGAGGCATAGCAAAATGGGAAATCCAGAAGTGAAGCTGCATTTTGAGAGCTACAAACGTGTGGAGTCACTTCCAACATCCTGATTTGAGTATTTCGTTCGGAAAATAGAAAAAAGAGACGGTCCTAATTAATTCCCATGCTTGTGAGGAAGCTTTTAGACAGTTTGTTGCACGTCCAACCTGACCGACTTTCGAATAACAGGCACAAAGAATGTTTACAGACGTCAAAGGTATATACAAGTACATTTAGATGAGCTAATCCATCCAGAGTCGACTGCCGCACGTCATTTTGAACAGCTTGTCCTTCTTCAAGTGGATGAAAGTGTGTTAGGGGAGAACTAACTAAGGAGTCGACCGTCCTGCCTTAACAGGACAAGTGGAAGATCACGGGAGCATGTACAAGGTGATGCGTACACTTCTGAGGCCGAATGATAGGTTCCACACTCAGTCCCTAAACCAAAGCTCACAAGGCTCATCGGGAGGCAGCGGGTTGCCGCCGACATGTTCCCATGAATGAACCAGTCACCGTTCGTGCTCTAACACCCAACCCAGAACACTAAGAAACTTTTCTTCAGACCTCTATTCACTGGCCAACCTGACATGAGAACCTGTGTAGGTCTGAAGGTGAGACTCCCATTTAGGTTCAGTCTCTGTGTCGGTGTAGTGTGGCATATCTCTAACTGCTGCCTGACCCCGAGTTCGAATCCGGGCTCCAAAGCTAGAAACAACTTTCCATCGAACGGTTTGCCGAACACAGTCGTCGTCACAATCTTCTGGACCGTTAAGAATACTCCAATCGGAAACACTCGTCGCTGACATACACCTTTTCGGTGGTCTGGTTTGATTTAGCAGCGTCGTCATTTTTGTCATATCTCTCCCCACTAATTTGATATACACAGCTTGCGAAACCGAAGTCCTTGAAACACCGCTAGAGCTTTATCTTGATTAATGTCACTTGTGATGGTGAATTGCTGTACTTGTGTTGCACGAACCCATTTCCCCAGTTTCACTCAGTGTTTTCATTGTTCCCCAAGGTCAGTAGCACTTTTTCTCCACTACAAGGTCGCTACTGTCACGAAATTCCACTTTCTTGTTTGAAGTAAGAGCTTCTCCATAAGTTCACTACTGCACCTGCTGGAACGATTCGCAACGCTGATAAAATCCAGGATTAACTAACCGAGGGAATCGAATTACATGTTAGTGGAGTACCGATCATTAGCTGCGTGAGATGCTTCCACCCAGTTGTATTGATCCACAAAAACCCTGTCAGTGCATTTTTGAAGTTTTAGACTTAGCCATATTGTGGTATGGCATTATTCCCCCCTCCCTGCGCATCGCCAGAAGCGCAACAGATAAGCGGTATGCACCCACCGTGCGACTGAGACAGTCGAAACACAGTAGACAGATGCAGGTGCGCCGTGTGAAACAGTGTACTGGAGGTCCTTCCTCACTTGTGGCTGAGGAGCTGAACGAGATGCTTAGTGGGAAACATGCCCCAATGTACGCTGCTTGCTTAGCTGTTGTCTACGTGTGCATATACTCATGTTCACTCCACGCTTGCATTTTGATTAGGCTGTTTAATTTTGTCGCGATATGAATTGTGGTCCACCTTCGTCCACCAGATACAAAACTCGCATTAGCTAGTGAAAAACAGGTAGCCTATCGGATTATCTCGAGACAGCATTTCTTAGGTAAATCTGGTAGCAAACTACAGAGTAATATGCACGTTCGTGTCAACACACGCTCAACTGAACGCTGCGGATAGCTGCGTATAGGGTAGAGTCATAAATTTTTAACATTTCTGATGTCTATATTACAATCCGACAGACAACACTCCCTTCAGGATGCAAGCTGCGATCGATCATTTTGTTTGCAGTCGATTATCAGTCGAAAGTTTAACGAATATTCAAAGTAGCGAACGTTAGCCACTGACATGTTGCTACATTATATTTTGAAAATATGCAACGGAATCGAAACACCAAAGTGGTGGTGGGTTGAAGCCATGCCAGTATTTTGTTTTGTGTTTTTCTGTCCCCTCATTGGTTACGGAGGTGCTACGGTGTGCTTCGAATTTTCATAGGTATCTTTTGCACCCTTTGGTGCTTGAACCACAGACCGCTAAACTAAACAAAACTTAGAAAACATGTTCACGTTGTGCAACGGTGAAATTCGGATGTGCACACCAACTTGTTCTTGACCGTTGCCTTTCAACCTCACTAAACGAGGTCTTTTCGTCCGAGTGGGTGCCACCAACCAAATCTACAGGAGCCTGATGTGTTTCTCCGCTGATGCCCAAGATTCGGGCTGGCAGCGTGCTGCTTTGGTTTTTCTTTTTCTCCCGTCTTGGCTCAGTGAGCTATGTATATCTGGTACCCCGTTCTGCACCGCTAATGATGTGCGTTAGTAGGATCGTTTGGTTTTATGAAATGCGCATATTCTCTGTTGTTGTGTTTCTGGAGCAACAGAGTGAACAGAGAGTGAACTCGTTCATGATGTCTCAGACCGGTGGTGCGTGCAAGCGCATAGTTGCCCTCTGGAGAAAAGGTCACATAACCCTGCCACCTAGCTGTTTCCAGCATGGGCCACTGACACAACCTATCATACTCCTTGTTAAAGCACGACTCCCAACTCCGCATTGACGACGTCACCTCGATTGATGTTGGGACTGCCAAGCTCGGCGAAAAGACCAACAACCAGATTTCTTCCTGTACGTGAAGCCGATGTATGACGAAAAGCCGTTTCGTCCTTATCGTGGATAGTCATTAGTGCCCATCACAGAGAACTCCAAAGTTTCGAACCCGCGACCTTCCTGTTGGTAGTCTGAACACTAAAACGTTCGGCCACGATCAGCTGATCAGCATTGTGACTAACTCTCGGAATAAACTTCAGGTAATCACGTGTTGACTGGCTGCTCCATGGACTTATGGAATTATTCTTCATCGGAACTGTTTATGGAATGCTGGTAATGTGAGGAGGTTTTTGAATTTTTATTCGGGACCTCGCGATTGAAATATGGATAGTGCTACATCGCACACTTTTGATCAGTTGCTCGTTAGCCGAACAGTTAGATGTTTGAATTATTAGCTCGGAGACAGTGGGTTCGAAACTGCCTGGAGCTTCGTGGAGTGCGCACGATTCCTAATAAGGATGAAACAATCGCACAGTGCTTTCAGCACAGACTAACTTCGTTTACACGAAGTTCACAAATCTCCTCACACTACCAACTGTAGCTTACATGCTTACATTTTGCATCTCATCAAAGAACGTCATTTGTCGGTCCATGTATTTTCTACCGTCATCCAACTGTGGTGACGGTCCCGGTGTGTTCGCTGACCAGGGTATTATGCGTATTGAGCGGTTCTAACCAATGCTGAGGTGGTGATGGTTCTATCGTTTAGTTCCATTCAATTGATGATATTTGGAGTGTGATATTTTGAGACCGATCTTTCCTGACAAGTTTTCAGAGAAGATACATAACAGCCGCTAGTCGTCTAGGGGCAGTTAGCGCTTCCACACCCGTGACGTAGAGTAATAGGACTTTAGCGTTCCACCCCCTCTTAACAATGAGAAATAGTTAGCGATGAGGTTAGTCCACCTCGTATTACCTTACCTGATTAGTCGCGGCAACTTCACTACTTTTTGTGGAGTTGCTCTCCGTACTCTTTGATGTGGTTGAACTGTAAATGCGGAAGATGCAGTCTGTGAAACCCGCATAATCATGACAACATCTGACTCTATTCACCCTATCTCGCTGATGTTTTAATCTTTGTTCGATATTTCAGTCGACGTGACTACTTCCTTCGGTTGAAGAAAGCTATGTGGTAGTAGTTTTCTTTCTTTCATAAAGTGATGAAACCACTGAGAAGAGCAAGAGACTGCTCTGATACATTGGCACATTTGGTTGCATGCTTTTCCAGTGCTAGTCTCTAGTTGTTTCATGAATTATGCGACGAAATTGCATACCATCTATCGACCTGCCTCAATAGATTCTATTTAATAACGGATTGTCTTTGTCAGATTAAAGTTGTGTGCTTAACGAAGCCTTTAATTTCTGTGCTCCGGACGACCAATTGCTCATTCCTTAGAAAACTAATTCCCTGGCACATACGCCGCGTTATACATACATTCGGGGTACTGTTTTTTGTGAGGATCGTATTACACCTTTCCAAACAGGCTATACGCTGAAAGCTACATAAGTTTCGTTATTCTATAATCCCACTGTTTATGTTTTTTTTTTACCCATACACCTATTCCCGCAAGTTGGCGAAACTCTCCGCTCCAGTGTTGTTCCCGTCATTGAGCGTGACTGATGGGGTAGGCATCAACATGGATGAGTGTCATTGGACCGAACAGCTTGCAATACTTTTGCTCTCTGATCATCAGAACCTAGTTTTCAAACTTCCCTTGACTATACTCAGCTCCGTGAAACCTCCGATGGACAGGAACGGAGTGACCTCTCTTCCCTCGTCCCCGTTGGATAAATGTCTCTCCTCCCTCAAGTATGTTCACAACAGCGAGGTACGTTTCTGACCGCGAGAACTGCAACCCTATTCGTAATTGTTTTCTTTTACGTTGAAAAGTCCTTCGTTTGACGGAATTTCACTGAGCTAGCGTACGAAACTCAAAGTAGTTTCAGTATATCCAGATGTCTTCTACTCCGGCAAGCCAGGAAATGAGTCCACTATCTCAAAGTTCTTTTGCCATACTCACTATCGGGTACCTTATGAAAGAAATAAACAACAGACATACTGGATATATATATATATATATATTATATGACTCAAACTGGCTCAAGTATATGTGGACGTCTTCTCTCCATTGCGGAAATTCTGGACCAAACCCCGGATCGTTCTGACCTTTCTCCTTGTTCTCATCATTTTCTATACCTTAGGAATTGGACGAAAGAAGCTTTACGGTCCGAAAACCGTAAACATGCACTATGTTTATCTTCAACCTACATTGACGCCGACTGGTGTTACTTATTATCGGCTTGGTATTAGGTGGTGTTACGAGACAGTCGCGTACAACCACTGCGTCCATGAGCTTAATGTCTTAATTCACTGAGATTCACTACCCTTATTTCCCTGTAGAGTGACGAACACGCAGCAAAATCGTGCAGTTGTTGGAGCACATATCTAACAACTTTGTGCAACTGTGTGTTCGGTGGCCTGGTATACTTGAACTTCGATGCGGTGCATGTCATCCAATGAACTGATACCCACTTAACCGATTGAGAGGTTAGCCTGTCATAATGGCCTCCCATGTCAAGGGCTTTCTGAAGTGGAATTTTCTTTTGGAATCGGGGCAGCATTTCCCCATTGTAAAGAATTTAGGGTTTCTGAAATCATTTCTTTCAGCTTTTGCCTAGTCGAGGGTTTCTTATGAAGAGTGAGTACCGAATGTGGTTTCCACTGGCCTCGTAGAAAGTTGCCTTTCATAGGTCCCTTCAAGTGGTCTTTCAAGGGTCTGAAATGATTACGTGGTTCCATCTGCACACTCCTCTAAACTTCTTGCTACTCTTATTGTTTTAGTCCATCTCGCGGGTGTTGAGGTCCGCTCCGTGCTTCGGGAACAGCTCTCGGTCAGCTAGTCTTTCAGTATTACCTGCTACTGCAAGGTTGTTGCAGAATGGTGTCCCCAAATGCATACCATCGATTGTCTTAGCAAGCCAGGAATCTTCACATATCGGTTCTGGTCAGATATCCACTGGCTGGCTTGCTTCCACGCCAAAATGCACTGATTTCAAGGAATTGGATTCTCGACTTCCACACTACCAGAGCCCCAACCGTACTTTGTCACAAAGCTGTCACTACTCTTTAACGGATATCCATTCGTCTGGTAGTACCACCCAGCGACGCTCCTGTACTGGGCCAGATCATGAGTGGCCTGGCTCTTCTGCTTCAGAAACTACTGGTTTGCAGGTCTGTTGTTGTATCCATCATGTTTTTTTTCTGGAGACATCCTGTGGTTGCCCTTAGGCTTGGTATATCTGACTAGTTTTCTTGGCCCATTATTTTGTGAGATTAGGGAATTTTCCAATAAATATTTCGTCCTTCAAGGACGAATCGAACTCAAACTGCTGGTTAGTAGCTGGAGACTAAACCGTTCATCATTCGGCTGCGAGCTGCTGATTGCTGGTGGTTAACTCGCAATTAAACAGGATATGGCGCCACTCATCTTTTAATCACAGAATTTCTACGTGTTAATTGGTTACTCGGGTGATAACTTCTAAGATGGAAGGTTTACCCTTCGTGATGATTGCACTTACTTCCTACTCGCTAACAGTTTGTTCATATTGTAGTGTGACTGGGGAATTTTCCAGTCGAGAGTTTGTCCTATGCCGAAAAGCTGAGGTGCACTGTATGGCTGTTTCATCCTTATTAGGAATCATCAGCGGTGTGCATCCCACCACCATCCAAAAGTGTTCGAACTCAACAAATAAAACTTACGGAAAAATATTATTTTGTCCTCAGGTAGTTTTAGCTCGGTTGTTTTTGCTTGAAGACATGAAGTTTGTGTATTGAATTCCGCTCCATCCCGAATAGCCGAATCTGCTGTCACTATTTTATCGAAATAATTTAGGGATCGGTGCTCCTTACTTGAATTGACTTTACAGTGGTCTTCTGGAAAAGGTTAAGTCATGTCGATTCGCTGCCTCCCACGGAGGGCGATGGCCCATAAACTCTGAGCACAGCATCATCCATTTTCTCTTCCATTATTTGATTTAGTCCTAAATATCAAGATCCAGGTTTTCGATTATCTTTCGCTTCGACATCATCATTCTGAAACAGTATAGTGGCAGCAGAAAAAAACTCTGATGGGCTGAAATCCGGTTTGCAAAGGACAATCTCCACACCCTTGTAAGACGACATGGCCCAAGTGCGAGTTTACTGTCCGAAAGGTCCATGGTTCGAACCCGACCTCTGCCTTTCGACTTCCCGTGTCTAGGCTTGGGCGACCTGACAGTATCCCAGCTCCCGTGCCTCATTCGTGTGGCATGGCAGCTAGGCACTGAAAGGGTGCTACAGTTGGACGATTTCGATTTATTTTGTAGCTGATACCTGTGGATTAGTCTGGAAACAGAATACTGGGTAGAATGATGTAGCAGCTTTCTCCAGTATTGTTGTTCATATCCTGTCTTTGCGACCTATATCCAGCATGTACTGGAAGCTCAGTGCGATTGCACCGGGACAATTTTTATTTGTGCTCACCTCCCGATTACGAAGCTCGGTTGACATTGCATTGCTATTGGGTGAGCGACGATGGGATCCTTTAACTCCAAACATGTGTTTGTTTATCCTGCTCACTACAGTGAACTTCATCGACTGACCGATTGTTAAAAGGCGCAGTAAAGTGCTGAAAGTGCCCACGGTCACTATAAAGCTTGAACAGTAGACAGCATTTTTTAATGGTGAAATACCAACTTGTAACTAAACCCACTCAGTATAATTTGTTGTCACTCGAATTTTCGACCGTCTGTGATGTACTGTAGCCAGTGGGTTGATAGTTAAGTATCTACTAACACTGCTAGTGTTTGCTTGAAGCGGTCAAAATGATCGCGATGTATCCAGCCTTGCATGTGACCTGTCGCGATAGTCACTCAGCCAAAGTAATCAATACGTCGACGGAGACCATGCGGAAGGCGTGAATAAGCGCAATTTTTTTCTAGCCAAAAACTATTCGAAGAGTCTTCAGCAACCTTATGAGTAGTTCCCTTTATGAAAACCATTTGATTCTTTTTTTCCACCCAGGTTGATTTTGACCCCGAACGTTTGGCCCTATTAAACAACGCCGTGCACCTAATGAAGCTACTGAATCAGATAATCAACGATCGTCAAATGGATGCACGAAGAAAAATGAAGTGCTTGCTGGATGTAAGTGTTCTTTACAACTTACTGCTAGTATTAAATTCGCGCACCCTTGTGCGTTATTGTAAGTTCTTGACACACTTTACGAACGCAAGATCGCATCGGCTACCAAGTTTTGGTTGCCCATTGGAATTGAATGTGTCGTCTGATTGCTAGCCAATATTCTTATTTAGTAGGCCGCCTTCCGGCCGAGTTCAATCAAACCTGCGAAGGCAATGTTCTCATTCCACGAACGCTTGGACTTTGAATGAAGGAGTCCAAGACTAATCTACAAGATGGTCTCTGGGAGCGTGTGTCTGATAATCACGTGTTTGGCTATGGTTACATGATCTGCACTTTGAGTAGCTTGTTTCGCATTAACAGCTGACCGTCCGTTACTCTGTGATACTTGTCTGTCTTGTTAGCGACGGTCTCGGCCTCAGAGCATATTCTCCAGCATTCAGACTTGTTTCAACCAAGAGATACCCAGTCAGACTGGGTCAATCGACGGCATCGCAGACGGAATCTGTTGGGTCAACGTAGCCACAGAGGTCGTCAACAGCTTGTTGCACCAACGAAATGTAACTAGAGGATTGAACAACAGATCATCATACCTGGCCAAATAATCGTGGCATACGTTCCGGGCAGTACAGAAATATCTGTACTGGCCGGACTTATTGTACGCTACGCATCTTTTCCGTTTATTCTCGGGATGAGCCAACCTAAGGTCAAGTAAATGGCTTTTGGGACTATCTTTTCAGTCGACATGAGCATGTAACCGAGATCGATACTCGGCGCTTATTAAATCATCTGGGTCGACCACAAATTTGTAGACGAGCCGTCCAAGATATCCCGTTTTGCGGTACCATCTTACCAATTAATTCTCCCAACGCACCTTGAGGACCACTTCCTAATAGGTCTTTGGTCATAGCCCACTGAAGAAAATGCACTCGATGCGCCGTTTTCACCATATTTCCTTCCATTTCAGTTCCGTAAGGTGCACCCGGACATATTCTGGCTGCGTTTTCGTGACCAACAAACTGCTTCTTACTACCTGAACCGCTTGCAACGACGAATCGATGCTCAGCCCCAGCCGACAATCTTAGAAAAGATCACAAACGCCTTCCGACGTCGCCGTCAGAGTCCA